CCCTTCCTAATCCCATTTAGTGTTGCGGGTGATGCATTGCAGTCCTGAACTGTCTTCCTTTCAGAGGAGGAGGAGAAACCAAGAGAAGCTGCCAAGCATGACTTCATAAAGTCTGACTTTAAACTGAACCCAATTTCTTGAGTGTCTTGGATTTTCTTATATATATGTGTGTATATATATATATATATATATATACATATATATATATACACTTTTTTAAAACAAATAAAGGGAGTAGGGAGAGCATGGGTTGCTAATGACTGGTAGTTACGAGTCATTAAGCTCACTAACTGACTTCAGGATCAGAACTTTCTAATAATGTCTGTAAGCACCCTTTTCACATTTATTCCTCATTTTAGGAATGGGGAGATGTGATTACCATTCAAAAGTCAGCGGTTATTTGTTTAGCTCATAATTACAGGGGAGATTTTTGTTTCTAAGGCTGCTTTTAAAGTACTTGACATTATTCTGAAATAATTTATGGATTTTGTTATTTTCTTTCTTTATTTTTTTTTTCCTTGTTCATTCTTTGCAAAAGCTCTGGAAAACGAATGCCCAAAAAGAATGTTAAAATAAGGAATAAAATGGTTGCTCAAGTGTAACAATCCCAGTTTATTGCACACTTTCCATTTAAATTGTTTTTATTAGAGATAAACCTGTTAAGCATTGAGGAATTAAGAGCTGAATAGAGAAAGTTGTTCTGTTGGGGTATAAATGAAGGATGCCCATATGTGAAAAAGACTGCCTGGTTTCACAAGTGAAGTATTGGCCCGTTTGAAGGGCTCTGGCTACTTTGGCATATGTTATAAAAATGATGATTTGTTTGTTGTCAGGAGGGGTATCACTTCTTTTTCAAAGGGTCAAGAGACATTTTAGCTGTGGTGTTTGTAGATGTTACTCTCCTTAAGTGCCATTTGCCAGGGGGAGCTCAGAGCTGAGATGAGGCAGAGGGATTTGGGAGGCTTCCTGGCACTGCCATTGCACACAGACTTCTGGCTGGTAGCCCACACTTTGGTGTGGAGTTGACAGTGCCAGAAGTCAGTGCTGGAGTGGCGGCTGTCTTTGCTGGGAGGCTGGGGGAGGGAAAACCCCCAGTGTACCACTGAGTCCCCAGCAGCACCTTCAGACAGCTTTGGCTGGGTAGTCTCACTCTGGAGTTGTACATTGGAAGTCCTCACAGTCGCTCTGATAGTTCTCGAGCAAAGGTGACTTTGGAAACTATGACAGCAAAGGATGGCCTCGTTTTATTCACTCTACAGAAGTGAGACAAGGGGAGAAAGAACAGATCTGTGCGGAAAAATGTCGCTAGGGCTGTAACCTGAGCCCAGTGCTCTGTGCCTTCCCAAGGGTTTGGTGACCCTCTGAAAATCCCTGCTCTCTGGCTGCTATTATTGCTGGCAATCTCCAGCTAAAACAGCCTTTTGTCACCAGCAGCCATGTGCTGCTTGCTGGGAAGAAGCAAAATTGGTGTGTGGTGACAGGGTGGCCAAGCTGAAGGTCAGAGTGTGGTGCAGATCAGGCATCACTCCAGGCTGGTTTCTACCATGGGACAGGAATGGATCGGGGCGCAGGGCAAGGGGAAATATCCTACCAAAATGTAAAGGGCACAAAAGTGTTTCCTGCACCTTGGCTTGGGATTGGGCAGGTGCAGTGGCTTCTTTTTGCTTGTTTGTTGGGGCATAGCAGCAAGGTGCCATCCTCACAACCAGCAGGGCAAGGAAAAGTTAACTTAAAAAAAAAAAAAAAGTCTTTAGATTTCTGTGTTTGCCCAATTGTCCAACTGTTCAAACGGTTCCTCCATGCCAGATCCTTCCCCTTGCAAAGAGAAAAACACACAACCCAGAGCCAAAGAGCCAGTTGGCAGCACATGGTTTTGCTGGGAGGTGGGTGCAAGCCATGTGCTGGAGGTGTTCTGTTTATTCCAGTATGGATGCTGCTCTCTGGGGACAGAATAAGCAGAATGCACTTGTCAGAGCAAGCACAGCAATGGTATGGGGGGAAATGCACCCTCTGTGCAGCCCTTAGAACCTGAGTGGATCTTTACTCACATCAGTAATGTTACGCTGCGGTTTTGAGTTTTATGCCTAGTTGTATTTTGAGACTACTAAATGTAAATAGCTCTTAAGATGTGGATGCATACTTTAGGTCTTGATTCTTCTAGACTTGTGAAAATCAGAGTGGTTCAGGGTTTCCTATCCTTGAGATAGGTGAGTGTGAACCTATGGGAAAAGGGGCAGTGAGAGTTTTCCCATTTGCTTTTCTGTGCCACCCTTTTTTGCTGACATTACATCAGCCCAGCACTCTGGAAAGTCCATGAGTGATCAAGAGATCTCAGCCCCTCTATCAAAGAAAGCAGCAGAGAGCACGAAGCAATTGTCCCTGTGCTGCACATTTCTGCAGCCAGAGCTAGCTCTCAGCTTTGCGGAGTTCGCAAATGTGATTTATAAACGTAACGGCACTGCGTGGTGTTCTCTCAAGGCAAGGCACATTAATACTTTTAATCTGATGGCTCCTTATGAATTCCAGGTTTGGGATGCAGGAAGAAACTTGAAAGCGAATACTTTTTTTTTTTTCTTTTTTTTTTTTTTAATGCATAGTAGTTTGGAGTCTACTATAATGCAAAGTAAAGCATTCTGTTACAAAGGCAGGGAGGATGGGACAGAAGGTTAAAGGGCATCCTGGAAACAAACAGCTGGACCAGTTTATTTAAACAGATACAAGGATGGGGAGCTGACCTCAGTTTGACTTCTAGTGGGAGGAGCAAGAATGTCATTTTATTACTTTGCCCAGAAGGAAAATGTTCTTGCATCTGAATTCACCCCGAAGACATCCAAACACAGGGCTGCTTTGCACATCAGCCACTTCTATAAAATACTTAGAGGAATGCACAGGAAGAAGGGAACTATTAAGTACCTGTGTTTGAAATGCGTTTAAAGCAACCATCCCAAGTGATAATATAGAACAGACAGGTGAAAATACATTCTGCTGTAGTCACCTCAGCTGGATAATTGTGCTAAATATTGAAATGAGAGCCTCATTCTTAAGAAAAATGCTCGGAGGAGAAGGGGGAGGCTGTGATATTTGCGTGAGCATCCTTAGCACTGTGTGTCTCTTTGGTCTGGAACCTTTTGGAGCGTCAGTGCCAGCTCCTGAGGTCCTGCAATGGAAGAAAGGAGCAAGTATTGCCAGTGCCTGCAAAAAGATGTGGCTGGGGCACGGGGCTTTGTGTTGTTGTTTTACTTGGGAGAGTTGCTGTGAAAATTGCTTTCTGCAAATGCAGATTACAGATATTAAACAATTTTCTAATTGGTCATGGAGCTAAGGCAGCTAATGGGGGAAAAAAGCAGATTTTTTTAATTGCTTATTTCACATGGTGTTTGTGCTACACCTGTGCTTATAATGAGAAAGGAGAATTAGTCTAACCTTCTGCTCACATGATTCTGATTTTCATGGTTTGTACAAGATAATGATAAACTGATTTGCAACACCGTTGGCTGGAGCGAAGGGTTTCTTGGTGGAAGTGTGTCCAAAAATTGACACAATGCTGCTGCTGACAAAACATGACCTAGTTTGAGCGTAAGGTTTCCAGAACACGGAATTTGGGTTTTTGTGTCATGGAAGGTTTTGAGCCCATTTCCTCAAATCCGTCTTGATTAGCACCCAACATCTTGATTAATGTTAGCAGGCATTTGTGTGATGAGAAGCAGATAGAAGGCACCCCAAATTGCATTCCACTGCCTTTATCTTGGCCGCAGGAGAACCCTTGCTGAGCCGTAGCAAAAGGCAACGAAAACAAGCACCAAGTCTCCCTTTGTGTGCTTTAGCATCACATTTTCTAATTGTGATGTGGCCTTACCTATGCTTACCCTTCTTCTTTTTTCTTATTTCTCTCTTAAAGAACTTAAAGACTGGTTCTGAGGCTTTGCAATGCCATAAGTAAATCTCGGGGGAGATTTTTTCCAGGTGGCTTTAATGAAGCTTTCTGATGAGTAAAACCACAAAAGCAGCTCTTCTGGCACACACTGGTGGGACGGATTTCCAGCCACGCTTTGAGTTTCTGCTTTCAATGCCACCAGGACTTGTGCAGAGCAGACTGGGGCACTTGTGATCTCCCCCCTCTTTCTGTTTCTCTCCAAATAATTTTGAATATCTCTTTCCCAAATCAGCATTACAAGGTTGGGGCAAAGAGCTAAAAACCACGAGGAGTACGGTTGCAGAGGGCTGTTTGTAAAAAGGACTGCACCTTTTTTATTTCCAAAGATCTGCTTTTCATTGTTCGGAGGGAATTTTCAGTAGTCCAGTAATTACAGTTTAACAAGATGTTTGCTGTAAATGGTCAGGCCTAGCTGGAGAAAACAGGATTATAAATTCAATTACTGTAAAGCTATGACCTCGCCTTGACCCCTCAGACTTTGCATAAAGAAGGAGGGGGGGGGGGAAAAACCCACCAAGAAATGGCTATGAGGAATGCAAGGCTCTGAAGTCCCCAGCAGTGTGACTTAGTGGCGATAAAACTCCAGACGTTCCCTCATTTGATGGTGCTCTGCCATCACAGTTCATTATCTTAATAGTGGGCATTAAAAGAGAATTAGGTTTGCGAGAGGTACGGGAAGGTTTTGATAATAAAAATTGCAAAAAGAAGTCAGAGGACATGAGACAGAAATGCCACTAATTAGGAGGAGGCAGCAGATGCCCTTATGAGCATCCCTCCGTCGTCACCCACTTTTTGTGCCCTGCTCTGAATCGCCAAGAGTGTCGCTGGCATTGTTTCCTGGAAACTCCGCTAATTCCCCCATGAAAAGATGCAATGGAAGTGTCCAACTGTGGTAAGAACAGGCCAACATAAATCAGCTCCCAAACCCAAGCCTGGGCTGCCAGGGGTCAGCGAGGGCCAGGGGCCGGCTGTGGCTGAGCCCGCGCCAGCCTGACGGAGCGCGGTGTCGGGGCGAGGCTTGGGGTTGGCCCTTCCCTAACCAACTGCTTTACTCTTTCTGTTGCAGGTTTATTAATGCTAGAAGAAGAATAGTTCAGCCCATGATAGACCAGTCCAATCGAGCAGGCAAGTCCCTAGTAGTAACCGTATTCGAGTCACACAGGCTAAACCCATCCTCAAGCCATGCAGGGAGGTCCATTACCTGGTAAATAAATGAGAAATGATCGCTGGGAGTGACCGACAATTAAAATAAGACCAGCTTTGTTTAATTCAACGGCAATTGTTTTCCATGATTAAAATATCTGGGGAAAAAAACTCAGTAAAATTCAAAGAAGAAACTAGAATTACCTGCTCTATGACCAGAGCTTCCTTACACATTCGGAATTAATATTCTTCCTATTTTTGTTGCATTTGTTTTGAGTTCTGCCTCCCAGCTTTTTCTGCTCCTGTGACCACTCCCTGGTGCATGGCTTGGTGTGGAATTGCTGTAAACTTTATTACCTGTCAAAAGGGCAGAGGGGTCAGAATCGCTTGTGGGACTCAGTAAAGTTCAAAGACATTCAATGAGGTAGAGCTTTATGTGCTTTAATAACCCAAGGCAGCTTACTTCTGAAGCCAGATTTTAATGTACAGTTAAAACCAAGGCTTTAGGTACTGGGACTCGCATAGGGTCCCTTTGTCTCTCATCTCTTCTTTTTAGTATCTATTAGGATCTTGGAGTGGTTGGGTTTCCCTTTTGGGGGATTTTTTTTAATCCAAAGTTTTCACATTCTGGTCCCGCCTGGGGCTGCAGCTTGCAGCTCACTGTGGGTATTTACTTTTACCCTGAGCCTTTTTTTTTTTCTTAAACTGTTGGCCATATTTATTATTTACCATTGCTGAGCCTCTCTGCCAAGCTATCCAAATCCATCGTTGTCAAAAATGCCTTTGGGCAGTGCCTTCTCCTCCAGCACATCTGATTACTTGGCCATTAGAGGTAAATCTCTGGCAGGGACGTGCTCAGGTCCCACTCTTGTAAAAGTGCATGGACGTAATTTAACACACTGGGATTTCAGTGTGACTGTTCCAGTCGTAAAATCCAGCCCCTGCACAGGTCTTGGCATTGACGTCAGCAGCAGCAGCAGCTGGAGCCGGAGCTCATCACGTCTCAATATTTTCTGATGGCCAACTTCATTTACTTCCAAACTCGCAGGAGGAAATTAAGCCTGAAACCTGCAGGCTTGTCATCACGGCCAGCTAATTCGAACAGTAGATGTTTTTTTCCTCTTTTTTGAGCCCACGGTGGTGGTCATCCCCGTGGTTCCCTCATAGTCCACAGGTGCTGGGGTTGTGCCTTGACCCAACGCGACCATTTGGGATGCTGCTGACAAGCCCTCTTCTGTGCTCTTTCAGTAAGCCAAGGGACGCCCTACAACCCCGACGGGCAGCCAATGGGAGGCTTCGTGATGGATGGCCAGCAGCACATGGGCATCCGAGCGCCAGGTAAGGCCCGGCCCAGCTGGGTGCCCGCTTCGCCCCGCTCCGCTGCCTGCCTCGCTGCCTGTCCTCTGCCCGCGCCGCCAGGGCACCGTGCTCCTTCAGAGGGCTGCGGTTTGGAAAAGGGGCTTTCGGCACTATCTGTTGACTTTGCTCATTCCCTGGCATCTTCTTGGATTTTTCTCTCCCTCTAGGACCTATGAGTGGAATGGGCATGAATATGGGCATGGAGGGGCAGTGGCACTACATGTAACCTTCACCTAGGTACCCAATGGCAAAGCCAGGGGGAAGTAAGTACGAATGGGGTCTTTGTTCTCACTTTGTTCCAGGGATATTTTTCCTCTGTGCATTTCCCTACATTCTCCTTGCCCATAGCTTCATGCTTGTTCATTCCTCTCCATCCCGCGCCTGGTCTCCTCCGGTTTCCTTCCTTTGCCTCTGGTTTGAGCAAGCTTGCCAGCTCCCGAGCCCCGCGCGCGATGCACATTTCTGCGCGTTGCTATCGCACAGCGCTGACCACATGACAAAACAAGAAACAGCCGGGAGGTGGGGAGCGAGTCGTCATGGCAACAGACTGATTTGCAAAATGTAAGCAGTCTGCAGCAGTGCAGGGAGAGGAAAGAGCATGTCCCCAAAGTGTCATAAATCTGTCTAACCGCAGTTGATGCATGAGTTACATTTCTACACTAACCTGCAAGACACCAAAAAGCCAAACAGAGACTTCTTTTAGGTAAAATAAACAGCGGCTTCACTTAGGGCTAGTTACGTTTTGGAAGGCGATCAACGAAACTTTGATTTTTTTTCAAGTTTATTTCTCTTTGTCTGTCCATCATAATGGGATTACGTGTGGCAAAGGAAAAAGAGAGAATACAAAATAGAGGTGTGCACAGCAGGCTATGGAGCTTAGCCCAGGCTAATTGACTATATCCAAATTAAGTATGCCATCACTTGCAGTGTGACAAATGGATTTGACTTATTCAGTATACAAAAATAGAGATCATTAATGCAATCTTCAGTGGCAGACCTCGTGAAGAAAGCCTAGAAAAACTGTCCCAGATTTTTTTTTTTTTTTTTTTGGGGGGGGGGGAGGCTCTTGTCTTTTTGTAGGGGAAAATACATTATACAAATTTTTGTTTAAAAAAGAAAGAAGAAAAAAGTGAAGTAAAGCAGCTTGAAACTCTTAAGGCACCAGTACCATGCCCAAGCAGTACCCAATCCTGTTTCTCTCGCTTTGTTGCTGGAGATAAGAGCAGTTATTTGGGCATCTTTGCTGCTCTCCTGCTTATTGGAGGGGAGCACTTGAAGTTCCCAAGGCCAAGGGTGTCTGGGAGTCGTCTTCGCTGGGTGCGAGTCGGAACAAAGTTTTAACAATTAGCTGTGCAAACATTCCACCGAGCTTGGGAATGCAACAGCCTTATTACCTCAGCATGGAAATTTCTAGCTTAGTTAATTTAAATATTGTTTCTTAGTTTCTGGGTCAATTAAATTTAAATGATGTATTTTATGCTTCGTGACCAATTAAATTAATAGGTTATTACAAAAAATATTATCATCTTTTTTGATTAAAGAGCTGTGAGTACAGTATATTTTATAAGCAATTTTCATTAGTTCAAAAATGTTCCTTTAGGCTAGATTAAGCAGCTATTCATTGCTAGAGCCTTGAGACCTGATTCCAAGGTGTTCGGAGCATTCACGGTGCACTATTACTTAGAACTAAAGCCAATTGAACCTACTTAGCAATAGCGTATGCCTTTCACCCTTGATGATTATGGAGCTTATAGCTCTCCGAAACAATACACCTGTCAGTTCCCATCAGCTCCAGCAATCCAAGCAGAAGGCAGAGGCCCACGGAAAGCGGGAGGTTTTATTGTTTTAGGTCCAATTTTTCTTATTGTTCTCCCAGCCCCTGAAAGGTTGACTGAGTTGCGCGTCTGATTTTTCAGACAGAAGTGATCGTAGGGAAAGAATTAATTGATAACTGTCATTGATTTTTGTGTGTGTGTGTGTGCATGTGTTTAAAAATACAGGTTTGATTTAACATCGTCCTTAGTAATCCTATCCATTTCAGCTTCATCTGAGGCTTTTGTGCAGCTGTGTATGTGCTCGCTGTACAGTCCATCTTTGAATGGCAAAAACACTCCGGACGGATCCAAAGTAGCGGGGCTGGCGAGCTCAATAAATAAATGGCTGTTGACCAATGCTGGCCTCTTTCTCTCCGCAGGGCTGCAAAGTGTGCCAGGGGATTATGTGTCTCGGGGTAGTCCAATGGGTATGAACATGGGACAGCCAAGCTATACCCCGCCCCAGATGCCCCCCCATCCCGCTCAGCTGCGTCACGGCCCCCCCATGCATACCTACATTCCTGGACACCCTCACCACCCAGCGATGATGATGCATGGAGGACCACCCCACCCCGGAATGCCCATGTCAGCATCCAGCCCCACAATGCTTCATCCCGGCGAGCCGGCGGCGAGCGGACAAGTGATGGACATTCATGCTCAGTAGCTTAAGGGAACGAATGCGCGCTGTCCGCAGAGACGGCGGATTTCAAACATTGTCTTTCTGCAATGACTATGGAGTTCCATTCTTGGCGTCGACTTTGGACCAAGGGACGTTCCTATTCCTCACAGGGACCCTGACAAGCAGGAAAACACCGACTGAAGTCAACTTCTGGGGACATGCTAAATACCTATATAAGACATTAAGAGAACAAAGAGTGAAATATTGTAAAATGCTATTATACTGTTATCCATATTACGTTGTTTCTTATAGATTTTTTAAAAAAAAATGTGAAATTTTTCCACACTATGTGTGTTGTTTCCATAGCTCTTCACTTCCTCCAGAAGCCTCCTTACATTGAAAAGAAGCCTTACACTCATCCTGCAAATGACAGAAAGGGCTTATTTGCAGGATTTTTAGAGCATTAAAATAACTATGTCAGGCAGAAGAATCTTTCTTCTATCCTAGGATTTCAGCCATGCACACTCTCTCTCTCTCTCCTCCTCCTCTCTCTCCCCCTTTCTTCCCTTTCTCTCCCTTTCTCTCCGTCTCTCTCTCTCTCTTTCTAGCCCGGGGCGTGAATTTGCATGTCTAATTCATTTACTCACCATATTTGAATTGGCCTGAACAGATGTAAATCGGGAAGGATGGGAAAAACTGCAGTCATCAACAATGATTAATCAGCTGTTGCAGGCAGTGTCTTAAGGAGACTGGTAGGAGGAAGCATGGAAACGGAAAGGCAGTGTATCTGAAGCCTAATTGTCACATCAGAGCATCGTTGTCCCCATGCAGCAACCACCACCTTGTACATCACTTCCTGTTTTATGCAGCTCGAAACATGGACTGAAGATTTATTTTTAATATGTTGACTTTCTTTCTGGGCAAAGCATCGGTCATGTGTGCATTTTTCCATAGTCCCATCATGGAGCATTTATGTATACATTGTAAATAAATTTTGTGCAAAAAGGACTGGAAAAATGATCTGTATTATTGCAATTTTTTGTAAAAGTAGCAGTTTGGTATGAGTTGGCATGCATACAGATTTACTAAGTGGGATAAGCTAATTATACTTTTGTTGTGGTTAAACAAATGCTTGTTGATAGCCTTTTTCTATCAAGAAACCAAGGAGCTAATTATTATTAATAATAATCATTGCACACTGAGTCTTAGAGTTTCTGATTGAAACAGTTTGGATTGTATAATAACTCAAAGCCCAGTTGTAGTAGTTTGAGTGCAGTAATGAAATCTGAATCTAAAATAAAAACAAATTATTTTTTGTCATGGTGACTCCACTGCTTGCAAAATTTGTTTCCTGCCCCTTTCTGCTCTCTGTGGCAGTTCTGCCCCAGCTGGGAGCCGGGCAGCTCCAGAACCCTGCCAGCTCCAGAGGTGTGCCACCACCACTGGCAGTCAGAGTAGCTGCTTCCCGTTTGAAGCATGAATAGGCAGTGATGCACTGTGTAAGGAAGCCTTTTTTGTGGGGGGGAGCTGTCAGGACGCTGCCCGTTAGGAAATATCGTAGGGTGTTTGTTAGTTCTATGCAAAGAAATTGGTGAATAGTGTTAACAACCCCCCCTCTGCAAAGAAAAAATTACAGTTGTAAAGCACAGCTTGCATTTCTTGAGCCGCTGCTACGCTGAGCACATTAAGGGAGGAGGAAAATCAAACTTTGGAAACGTTGGCCAGGAATGGCTGTCAGTGAGGATGCCAAGTGCTGCACGGGGGGCTCCTGCGGGCCGGGGGCTGCGCGCTTCTAGGAGCCAGGCCTGCGTGCTCAGAGCTTCCACGAAATCACAGCTATCGCAGCAAGAGGAAGCCAAGAGCTTGGTGCAAGTCGGGAAATGGCACCGATGTTTGAATAAAGGCGAAGGGGATGGACACCTCCGGCCCCTCGCCTCTCATCTCGGTGGGAACGCGTTGGCGATGCGGGGTCAGGCGTGGGCAATGCGCATCCCAGAGTGTCCCCAGCAGGGCAGGGGCAGGAAGCAGGAGCTGGGCGCGGTGGGGGTGGGTCGGTAAGTCGGACCCGATGCTCTTCGTGGTCTTTTCCAACAGTAACGATTCGGCGATGCTTTGATGCAGCGATAAGGGCGCGGGCAGGGCGCAGCCGAGCAGGCAGAGCAGCACTCTGAATCAAGCCACCAAAGTGGGGTCCTCCCCCTCTCCCCCCTCCCCCCCTTACTCGCATCTCCTCCTCCTCCCTTCCTTCTTTTTTAACTCTCACTTTTCTTCGTTCCCCCTTTTTTCAAAGGGCCGACGCACCGAGCAGAGGCGGCCCATCGCGGCTCCCGCTTTGTCAGAGCCACAGTGACACTTTTTCTGCCAAAACGTGAATGCCTCTCCCTTTTTAACCCCCTTTTTAACCCCCCC